CTAGTCAATTTCAAATTCTAAATGATCATTTAAGAGACAGAACAGCCATTTTTTTTTTTTTTTTTTTTTTTTTTTTTTTTTTTTTTTTTGCATGAAAATTGTTGTCTCCTGGTGAAGTGGTGAAAGTTGCTGGTAGGTCATCTGAGGTGTCATTTCCAGGAAAGGTATTGACACTTTTCAATATGTTTGTGTGTTATGGTATCTTCAGCCTAATGGGCTCTCAACATAAACACAAGGGATCTGGAGTCACAGTTGTTCCGGCATCAGGTCATGCCTCAGTTATCTGACATTAAGCATTTAAAATACTTTCCTGGGGTGCCTGCTTGGGTGGCTCCATTGGTTAAGCTTCCCACACTTGTTTTCAGCTCAGGTCATGATCTCATGATTCATGGGTTTGAGCCCTGCATCAAGTTTTACAGTGATAGTGTGAAGCCCACTTGGGATTCTCTCTGCCCCCCTCTCTCTCTGCTGTTTGTTTTCTCTCTTTCTCTCTCTCAAAAAATAAAAATAAATAAATAAATAAATAAATAAATAAAACTTTCCTTATGCTATCTAGTAAACGGGGCCACCTTATTTACAGTCTTAGAATGATTTTCACCATCCTCTTAGTTCAGATGTAGGATCGAATACTTCAGATGTTAATCAGGACATAAGAAAAAACACAAGTACCAAGGTAGCTTATAAAATACATATCTTTCAATGTTTTGAGGTAGAGAATAGCATAGTGCCTAAGGTCATGATGCCCAATGGCAGGAGATAAACACACCCAGATGATAGTGCCTAAGGTCATGCCTAAGGTCATGATGCCCAATGGCAGGAGATAAACACACCCATCTCTCTCATTTCTATTCCCACCTCACAATATACAGTGTGAGTGCTTAATGTTACATTGGAATGGACATAAACCTACAAGTAGCCCGAATGATGAAGGAAGGGGTTTCTTGGAGTCTATACATGTCTTGGTTAAAACCATACTCTTGAAACAAACCTAAGGCTGTACTACACTAACTTCTTTATAGTTGTATAATTTCCTATGTTAGTGTAACAGACTAGCTTCTGTCTCTTTTCAAGTTTACGTAAGCTGGTTGCCCCAAGGAACTACCAAGATGTTCTGGTCTCAGAGAGCACTTGTGGAATGGGCTTCTCTTGCTTACCATTCCTTTCATGGGATCATGCCTCAGGGATTGGCACTCGTAGTGTTTAGAGCTAAAATGTTTACCGCTAGAGTCTAGCTGGTGAGACGAACAGCCCCAAAGCTATGTAGATAAAGAACTTTTACAGCAGTATTAATATGCAGGACCTATGGTACTTCTCTAGGTCTTCCCTCTTCTTAGAGTATTCTTCCCCTAATTACTTAAAAGCTAATTTCCTCACTTCCTTCAAGTTCCCCCACCAGTTCAAATGAGGCAACTGTAATGACTCTGTTTAATTCTGTAACCTGAGCTGACCCCACATCCCAGCATCCCAGCAACCCTACTGTAATGTCTGATTTTTTTTCATAGCTCATGCACACAGTATATAGCTTATTTTATTTATTATATTTATTTGATGTACCTTCACTAAAATTTAAGCCCCATGACAAGGAGAGGACTTTGACTATTTTGTTCTCTGAGGTATCACAAACTTGGCACATAGCAAGAGGTCAATGTACATTTATTGAATGGATGAGCATGTTTCCTATAGCAAAGATGGTGGAAAGTAAAAGCCAAACAGCATTCTGAGAGACTTTAGAAAAGCACCATGAAGAGTCACAGAAATGTACATTTTCCTGCTGGGGAGAAATCTGGTGAATTGGATTGCTTGATATATATGACTTGCTCATGAATTCTGGGAAAGGAGAAATGGACATTTTTGTTCCCTAATAGACTTTTTGTTTCCATTTCCCTTGTTCACAATGAATTTTAATCACCATGTCGCACTAGAAACCAAAGTTAGTACACAGCCTTTGTGCTTTCCTGTGGTAGATGCCACAGCTCAGATTTCAGACAAATAAGAATGTCAGCCAATGTCAATTTTGTTGTTATTTATGCATTCTCCTGGAATCATTCACTATCATACCTTTCTCCCTAGGAAACACAGGTTGGTATTCAGTGACTTTTCTAAGATTCATATTTCCTACAAATTCATCATTTGAGAAGGTTTTTAAAAAATGTCAAACTAAGTAATGTTTCCAAACAGCAGAACTAGAAGGTCAGGTCCATCGCCAATGAAATTTGTCACATCTATTTTCAGATGTTAAGGTTCAATCAAATGAAGAACAATAAAGAAATTCATCTTGGTTGCATCTTGAATTATTACCATTCCACACTATTTTGTTGGGAAAAAATGATACATATAAACACATGAATATGTGTATATATACCTTTATCTGTGTATGTGCCTTCACTACAACTATCATGAAAGTAATGGAAAGAATACTGACTTTGAGCCAAATAGACTTCAATATGAACAACATCAGTTTGCATCCCTTTTACTCTCAAAACTATCCTATTTTGATGAGAAATTTTATGTTCTTCTAAATAATCTTTGTTAAATTCCTGATATAGTTATTGGTGAAGAGTAGGTACTCAATAAAAAGTAGCCATTATTTAACAAATACAGATGCAACTCAACTTTCTCATGATCATCAGAGAGAAATTGTTCTGACTTCTAAGAAAACTGTAATCATTTTCAACACAGAAAATAGAGGTAAAAATGGAAGGATGTCTATAAATTAACATTTGGAAGAGGTCACTAGCCATTTCATGTAAGGAATGAAGGAAAAGGGGATCAATGTCTATTTCATCGTTAAACCTAGATTCTATTCCTAGAAGCCTAACATTGAGAACCCTTCTGAATTAGGCCTCCATAGAGAAAAAGATTTCACATTACCCAGAAGAAATAATTTCCTACCTCTTTAAATTACCATAGTATGCCTTCAAAGGAAAGGAGGTAGTTTCTTTCCGGAGGAAATGAACACACCTCCAAACAGCAACAATAAGGGTTGCCATCTTGGTAGTGCTTCTATGTGCTGAGTACTGAGACTGACAGTTTACATACCTCGTCTGCAGGTGTTCAACCCTCAACACAGGCAGTATAATTAGACACATTTTATTGAAAAGGGAAATGTCTTATAGAACTTGTATTGCTTTCCCCAAAACACACAATTAATAAATGATGGTAATATAATTTTGATCCAGGTCTACCCAAAATCAAAAAGAACAAAGATCTCAGGCTTTATGTCATTTCCAAATCCCATGCTGTCCCTTAATATCAGTGTTTTCATTTTATTTTTAGAGAGAGAAAGAGTGTAAGACTGTGAGCACGGGAGGGACAGAGGAAGAAGTAGGAGAATCTTAAGCAGGCACCACACCCAGCATGGAGCCTGATGTGGACTCCATCTCACAACTGTGAGATCACAACCTGACCCAAAAATCAAGAGTCAGACATGTAACTGACTGAGCCACCCAGGCACCCCCTAATATCAGTGTTTTTAAAGACTGGACACATACTCACACAACTAGGGAGAATTCTGTGAGACAGTAAGTTAATCTGTAAAAGATAATAAACTACATCTATCTCTTCTGCTTCTGAGGTACAGAATGATATGAATCTAAGGGGTCAACTTGGTAAAAAATGAACAATCAGTATGTGAAGACTTGAATGCACACTGATTTCAATGGTGAAGTGGAGGAAGTGAGTGGCTAAGAATCTGACAACAGGCATTTGTCCCTTTATTCCTCTACCCCTGCCCCACCCGATGTACACATTATTTCAGGTGCAAGAAATAGCTAAACTCATCAATAATGCCTGTTGAGTTTGACTGTTAGATTAATTGCTACAAGAAGATATTTTTTTTGCCTCATTTTACTTTTCACTGGGGAACTGATTCTCAAATTCTACAAACTACAAAAAAACAATAGGAAAGGTCTATCTAAAATAGCTACATATTTAACAGATAGAGCTCAGGGCAGCTGTCCAGCAGGAATTACCACAGATTTGTCCCCCAAAGACTTCTGAATAGCCAGCTGCAAATGACTTATGTCATTATCAGACTTGGCCTACCATAATACAAGAACACAGAGAAAAATATACTGGAGGCCTTCACCAAGGGTCATACCTACAGTCAGGCAAAATATAAACAATATAAAAATATTAAAATACAGCTACTAATCTAGGTCAATGTTTTTCTCAAAATTCTCTGCATTAGAGACAATGTCATAGGGTAGTGTGTATTAGGGATTGACACTGTATACATTAGACAATGTATTAGGGGCTGTATATTAGAAACAGTTTCACAGGGTAGCAGTAACATTTAGAGACAGAACTGCATTAGAACTGGGATGTCACCATCCATTAGCTATGTGACATGAAAAAATATTTAAGCAACAACAGCCTCATTTACAAAATGACGATGCTATGAATAGCCTCTTGTTACAAAAATCAGGTGTGACATGTCAGGCAATGATAACTAATGGTTATTGAGCAATTATTATGTGCCAGGTTCTGGATGAAGTTAGTACTGCTAAATGAGTAAACTAAGGCACTATACTTAAGTTCCTTGCTGAAGTTCACAAATTTAGAAAATCACAGAAATAGGGCTAGAGCCCAGGGAATCAACACAGCCCATGCTCTTAAAGCACTGTGCTAGATTGCTTAGTATGGATCTCTATACTGAGTAAAGACACAACAGTTAGAAGTCACAGCTACTGGGGCGCCTGGGTGGCTCAGTCGGTTGAGAGTCTGACTTCAGCTCGGGTCATGATCTCACAGTCTTTGAGTTCGAGCCCGCGTCAGGCTCTGTGCTGACAGCTCAGAGCCTGGAGCCTGTTTCAGATTCTGTGTCTCCCTCTCTCTCTGACCCTCCCCTGTTCATGCTCTGTCTCTGTCTCAAAAATAAATAAACGTTAAAAAAGTTAAAAAAAAAGTCACAGCTACTGTTATTATTGTTGAGATCCCTACACCACATAAAATGAGGTTTTGTAGAACACTGAATACTCATGCCAAAGAATGCACAATACCTGGGACATGGCTGCAAAAGTTCTTCAACAATGCAAGCCTCTTTCTCAAGAAGTTCTGGGCATTCCTTTCCACCTCCAATAGCAATGTGCTTCACATTCCGGCTCCTGCTTCTGAATCCTGGTGAGAGACTTCCTGAACGACATGTCTTGGAGCAAGGGCTCCAAGACGACCACTCAGTGGTTTCACAGTCTTTCGGCATGATGCAGGACTGGACAGTCAAAGGGAAGGAGTCTTGTGTGCAAAGGCTGAAAGAATAGAAGAAAAAAAACAGTAGGATGTAGATTAAACACATGCAACCAACATTATGAAGTGCCTGTTAAGGGGGAAAAAAACCCTGAAATTTGATATGAGCTTTCAAAGGATTTTAAAAAATGTTAGAGGCATCATGATAAAATAATGAAGAACATACATCTTAAAAATGTATGTTCTCTTTTATCTGCAACTGTGAAGTGATTTCACTCTAGCAAAACACACATGTACACACTTATACCTTGTGCAAAGCATTATGAGAAATAACGACATTACCAGCAACAACCAAACTACAGAGGGAGCCCATATGTGCACTGACTGATGAATGGATAAGGAAGATGTGGTACACATATAGAATGGGATATTACTCAGCCATCAAAAAGAATGAAATCTTGCCATTTGCAGCAATGAGGATGGAGCTAACGTATTATGCTAAGCAAAATCAATCAAAAAAATACAAATACCATATGATTTTAGTCATATGTGGAATTAAAGAAACAAAACAGATGAACATGTGGGAGGGTGGGGGAGAGGAAAGAGGGAAACAAACCGCAAGAGACTCTTACTGATAGAGAATAAACTGAGGGAAGATGGAGGGAAATGGGTGGGGGATGGGGTTGATGGGCTAGAGGGGTGATGGGCCTTAAGGAGGCTACTTGTGATGAGCGCTGGGTGTTGTAAATGATGAATTCCACTCCTGAAACCAATATCGTACTGTATGTTAACTAGCTAAAATTTAAATGTAAAAAATTAAAATAAAAAAATATAATAAAATACAAAAAAAAGAAGAAGACGAAGAAGGAGGTTCTTCTAGTGTGTTGTCACCTGCACTATAACTTACAGCTGCCATTTACTGACTGGTTCCCACGTGTCACACACACTGTGCTGTATCTCACAGGTACTTTTTCGCAACAATCCCATGAGTTTATGTATTATTATCTCCAATTGTAGAAAATTTAAGCTCAAGAAGGCTAAACCATTTGTCTAAGGTCAAACAAAGGTAAAGGTAAGCTGTAGAGTATTGACCTATCCACTCTTTTCATTCTGGGCTATGAAAAAAACAAATGTGGTATCATGTTTCCCCACACCGTTAGGCTCTGAGCATCAGTTTCCTCATTTGCAAAATTCGGGTGCTATCGAATACTAACAATCTAGTTGGGAAACAAATAAATAAAGAGATGGGATAAGTGATAATGTGATGAATTCAACATGAAATAATTTATAATGATGAGGAGAAAAGTTGATGAGTCAGTGATAGACCATCTGGAAAGGCCAGGAGGATGGGAGGGGGTGAGGGTATCTAAGAGAGAAGGACATATGAGCTGCATTTCTTTTAAAGATTGATAGGAGCTTCCCAGGCACAGAAGGAAGACTATTTTAGGCCACCAAAATAGTATATTTGAAGCCTTGATATAAAACTTTGTGGCGATGGAAACCAGTGTTATGCCAGAGCTGGATGTACTGTTTCACAAGAACTAACTAGTAACTTTTCACGAATTTTGCAAGCCAGTTGATTTCACTCAGATAGCTTAAAAATGGCCATGGTAGGAGTATTTACACTGCACAAATCAACAGATGCTACTAATCAAGCCCCCCAGCCCCACCTTACCCTGACACCCCACCCCCAAGAACAGGCACTTAAACATTTATAAGCACACCAAAGGGCGGGGGGAAGTAAAAACCAATTTGTCAACTGTCATAATTTGTCAATTTATAAAGCATAAAGTTCAAAGAGGAAAGTGGATAGATATTAGGTTTGTGAATTCTTCAAAAGTATGTCTGGAAAGACTTCACGTCATCAGCTAAGAAATTTGGATTTAACTGAGCATTAAATAATTTTAACTGAGGAAAATCAGACCCCACCAGGAAAATAATATTTTACATATTAATCAGTGTTCTTATTTTTTTTTTTTTTTTTACTTTTTTTTGTTGTTAGCCTTTTCCTTATTATGTCAAAGTCATCCATTACCTTGGGGAAGAAAAGGATAATTTTGACAGGAACACAAGTCAATATATGTTCAAATACTGACTTCCCAAAGTGGGCGAGTGAAATCTAGTGGAGTAATAAACTAATCAGGATTAGGTAATGGTTGTTCTGAATGTTTCTGACTTGTGAAAATAATGCTGATAAGGAAGAGTCAACAACAGGGAAAGGGATTATAGAAGGTTATGTGCAGGGGAGAATAAAACATGATCAAATTTAAGCAAATTATAGTGAGGTTTCCATATTGATATCTTTCATTCCTTCATGAAGCCATGGAGAGTTAGTGTGGCTTTCAGAAGTCACAATGATATAAGATAAACCGTGTGTGTGTATTCAAGTCTATTCAGATCATATTCCTTTCAAAATGAAAAAAGACAATGTGTACCTTATTACCATTGCTCACTCCAATGTTACATTTTGGGAGCTTGGGGTTAAGACATACTAGGAAGAACCTCTCTTGAAAATGCCCCACCTGTATCAGAATGTACTGTCTCTGTGCATTGTGGAGGTACGGGGAGAAGAATGTCTCTTTTGGTGTATAATACAACAGAAACATCAAGAAGTTTCTAGGTTTTAACTTTTCAGAAATTGTTATGGGCTTCCAAATTCATATATTGAAGTACTAACCCTCAGTACCTGAGAATGTGTCTCTATTTGAAGTCTTTAGAAAGGGTATTAAGTTAAAATGAGGTCACTAGGGTTAGCCCGAATCCAGTATGAATGGTCTCCTTACAAGAAGAGATTAGGAAATAGATACAGAGAAGGAGGACTATGTGAAGACACAGAGAGAAGACAACTGTCTACAAGCAAAAGAGAGAGAGCTCAGAAGAAACCAACCTCATTGACACCTGATCTTGAACTCTCCAGACTCCAGAACAGTGAGAAAATTAATTTCTGTTGTTTCAGCCACCCAGTCAGTGATACTTTGTTAAGGCAGCCCTAGCACACTAATACAGAAATTTAGTGATGTTTTTCAATTTGTGTGTTTTTAGAAATACACAAACTTTGCATGTTTTAGAGAAAAGTCTCACCTTCCAAGATGGACTTAATTCCTTTTATAAAGAAGGTCCCACATGATACAGTTCTCTGTCTACAGTTGTGGTGGTTTTGGTTTGGTTCTTCCCATTTACCAGCTTTTACTCTCAGTTGCTCAGCTTCCCCAGAATGATTTTCCTACTGGATCAGTAGAATGGATAACAAGACTTGCAAGGAGTTGCAGGGAATAATCAGGAAATTTTGCATTTTTGAAAAGGGATCCTAATTTTTGGAACTAGGAAGAGCATATGTTCCACTGATTACATATTTACTTACTTATTTTTTTTAATGTTTATTTATTTTTGAGAGCATGGGCAGGGAAGGGGCAAAGAGAGAGGGAGACAGAGAATCCCAACCAGGCTCCACACTGTCAGCAGAGTCCAATGCAGGGCTCAAACTCATGAACCATGAGATCACGACCTGAGCCGAAACCAAGAATCAGATGCTTAACCGACTGAACCACGCAGGTGCCCATATTTACTTATTTTTAGTGTTATTCTCACAAACCTCCCTTCTTGGTTAAAAAAAATCATAAAAGCTGCCACATAGATCCCTGGTCTACTTTGATCAGTGAAATTCCATTTTACTGGAATAGGTAGACAAGCACTAAGTGGTGAATAAGAAATATTTGAGACTTGAAGTTTGCATCACAATATGTTAGCATGACCTTAGTCTCCCGGCTACTTAGCTTCACTATCTGCAGGAAAAAATAATAAAATGTGATTTACTCACCCCCTATCATAGTCATAATAACTTTTAGTATGTGTAAAATCACCTTATAAACTAAAGCCCATAAGAAATATTATGTCTACACATAGAAATGGGAATAAAATTTTTCATAGAAGGTGGTATTTTTAATAAAACAGACATAAACTGTGGATTTGTCTTTTTAAAAAAGAGATGCTATGTAATTATATCTCCTTGACATATACAGAACACATCATTTGTAAGTTACTTCATAAGTATTCACTGTAAAGGAAATCACTGAAACTAAAAATTACTCTAATAATTCTTACTTCCTATGGAAATATAAGGAAATCTCTTTATTTAGAAAAAAAAAGAACAGAAACTTGTATAAGATAAAAATCAAGAGAAAGGTATCCTGCCTTCATCAAAACTTCAACAGTTAAAATAATGTTAAATACCTCAAACATTCAGAAAAGTAGACTTATATAACACATACTCCAAGACTTTACTAGCAGAAATGAACATTTATGTCAAATTTTGTTAAATAAACAAAAATTACAAATTCAGATAAAGTTCCCTATGTCTCTTGTGATGCATTTAAAGCTGTCTTTTTCAGACACAGCCACTAACCTGACATTGATTTTTAGTATTCTCTACAATGTTTTTATACTTTAGATAAATATGTATATGCTCATAACTATCATATAGCATTCATTGTCTTGCATGTTGCTAAATGTCTTACTTAAATGTTTTATTAAACATATTATTCTGGAAATTATTTTCCTCACTTAATATTATGACTTTTAGAACTATCTATGTTGACAAATACAGATAATGTTCATTTATTTTTACTGTTTGTATGAGTATATAGCAATTCATTTATTCATTTTCCCATTACTGCACCTTTTGGTTGTGGTTAATTTCTTGCAATTCCAAAGGATTATGAATTGAGCCTCTTTTTATGTCTCTGTCCTACACATGTGTAAAATATTTTCTTCAGTATTTTTGCCTTGAGTTGGGCCATAAATATTCATATAATCAAATGTACTAGGTATTATGAGATTTCTCCTTTCTTACATGCCTTAAAGAGGTATTATCAGACTTACTTTTTTCAAAATGTTGGAAAATTACATTTGTTTTTTGAGCTTACCATTGAGCTTTATATTCTTCTTGAATCTTTAATGACTATTCAGACTTCATCTCTTGTGAAGTGACCGTTCACATTGTTTGTCCATTAGGGTAGACTGCGTAACGCTCGCCTTTTTCCCAAGATGGGAATTCCCCTGTCCT